TTTTTTTATTAAATTTATTTATTTTTTATAAAATTTATTTAAAATGATTAATTATAAAAAAATAAACAAAAATAATACTAATTCATCAAACATATAGGACAAGAACAGCATATTGGAACTAGAGCACCACCAAGAGAAATTACATTAGAAAATGCTGTTTTACCATCTGAACCAGGCATGGTTAGAGTACAGGTAAATATTTGAAATTTTTAAATATATCCAAATAAGAAAATTATTTTTAAATTTTATTTAATAAAGATTTTTTCAATAATAAATATTTGAAATAATATCTAAAATTTTATATTATATTAATAGACTCCACCAAGGATTTTGACGTTGGATAATCATTATTTTCCGGCAGTTGATGAAGAGGAACCAAATTCCTATTCAACTGAAACTAAGGATTCTTTAGTTTCTAGATCACATGGACAATATCCTACAGAAACACAAATAGTTAGGCATGCTAGGTAATAACTGTATAAAAATAATTAATATTTTCTAATCTAATATAAAACTATATATACTATATATACAAAATAGATATATAACATTGATCATTTCAATTATTTTTATTATTTTTAAAGATATCATTTGTTAAATTTATATTAATACAAGAAATATATAAAAAGAATTTACATACATTTCTCCTTCTAAATTAAATTTAACATAAAATATTAAAAGTTATGAGTTTATACTATATATTTTGTACTTTTATGAAAATATATGTAATTTTTTTTTCTAGAGAACAGACAGCTTCATATAATGCACTTAATGTTTCTGTTCCACCTAGTGAAGAGATACAACACTTACGTCGACAAGTAGGGAAATTAAATCGTCGAGTAATGGCTATTGAACTTGAAATGTTGCAGCGTCAACAAAGAGAAAAAATTTTATATGCATTAACATTAACATATTTAATTCTTAAAGCTTTTTCATGGTTAACAAGAAACTGAGTTTACATTAAGAAAGTATAAAAGATTTCTCTTGTGTGAAAAATGGTGCTGTTCATCCATATAATGCAAGATAGTCTATCAAAAGTCTCCTGTGTTTTAAGAAAAAATTTATAACCAAAGACTCTATATTGAGTATATGAAATTATAAAATGTTCAAAATAAATGTATTGTATATATTCAAAACTAAATAATTTTCAATATTTACATGAAAATATCATAATTAAATTTTTAAATATTTAACTTATAAAACCTAATTTGTTATATTTATATCTTTTATTATTTAAAATGAATTGAAACTTTTCCTTACTTACACTATTTCTTAATATATATAAGTATTGAATATATACTATACTAATTTTTTTTAAATAATTGAAGTTGAATATCTAAGTATATTTGTATAAAATAATTTGCATTAATTTCAAGTCAGAAAATGAATTTTTTTGACATTTATGTTAAAGATCTATTAAGAAATCCATTTTACACAAAAATGTAATATTTCAATATCAAAATAATAAACTGAAAACAAATATTAGATATAAGTACAGTATAATAAGTAATTGTAAATTTGTAAAAGTAACAAAAATGTTATGAAATTCTAGATATTGAAATTGAAATTTCGTTTCTTTTTCTTTATTTACTTTTTTTAATCATGTATAACTAAAAATATATTGTATCAATACATTGACAAAATTGTTAAAAATCGATTATTATGAATATTTAGAATAATAGTACTAAGTTTGACACATTTTTTGTGGCTATGATATTCATTGTATATTTATATAATACAAATATATTATGAAAAATGAATAAAATAGATATATAATAATTTTCTTTTATTTTATATATTATTTGTTTAATTTGTTAATAATTTATTATAACTTAGATTATAATGATTATAATGAATATTTCTAATTTTTTTTTTATAATTTATAATTATTATATTTATTATAAACATTGAGATTATAAATTATTTTTGAGATTTTGTTAGTTTCATAATTTGATCAAAACTTTTAAAATATATTGAAATTTAATAATCAGTTATTTTTTTTTTA